GCTGCTCCCAACCCCTCCCCCCCGGCCCCCCCAGCCTCAACACAGCACTGGCAGCATCCCAGTTTTCATCCAACACAAACACCAGAGAATTTTTTTTTGTTCCAAACAGCCTTCAAAGGGTTTAGAGACTACGTGCACACAACACAGCAGATAATGCAAACATCTCTGGGGCGGAAGAAAGCAGCTAGTACAACGGTTTGGAGAGGGAATAGGTTCAGCCGAAGGGCTGGGATTTGCGCCCCTGCCCATGTGGGGAGTGCCAGGGGCTGTTAACGCATGCTCTGAGCAGGCAGGGGCTTGGTGCAGGATGCGTTGGCTGAAAGGCTCTTGTGCAGAGGAGCTGTGAGCTACCAGCCACATATTCACTAGGGTGTGGAGAGACCAGGATCTCCCCATTTCCCCCAGCGCCTGCTGTGACCTGCTGTTAGATCTGACACCTTGCCACAGCGAGTCTCATTATCTTCTTCAAGTGAAAAGCACCATTTGTTAGGATCTGGCTGCTGCTCCCAACTGGTCTCCCCTCCCCAGCAATAAGCACGGAGCAGCTCAGCTCTGGACAGAGCAGGAACGAACGAGCCAGCTGACCACAGTGACAAATGGCACCAGTCTCAGGGCTCGGCTGGAAGCCATCGGATCCGAGGGCAGGCGAGGAAGAAGCTGGAAGGGAGCGCCGGGCCCTCAGCCCTACTGCTCCGAGCCAATCGGAAACACACAGCTCTTCTTTAAATACTGGCTCTTTTGAAAAATAACTTTTTCAAGTGAACCCTGGCAGCTGCAGGCCAAGAGTGAAGCAGGCAGGTGTGTGATTGGAGGCAGCCTCCAAGCTGGGAGCCTGCCAACAGCAACCACAAGGCAGCTCTTGACTTCCCCCACGCTCAAAGGGATCATTGTGTAGGGGGGGAGAGAGAAAGAGAGAAGCAGGTTGGGTCTTTTAAAACCCGCAGTGACAGGGAGAGGAGGGGGAGGGGGGCGGATGCCAGAGCATGCCTGGGATGCACATCCCGGGAGCTGGGATGAGCCCTCTCGCGTGGCGCAGAAGGCACAATCCATCCTCTACCTCGGGGGAGCGGCGCGCCCAGCATCCTCGCGACAAACCTGGCTTACGTCCGTGAAGTTTCCATGCCCCAAACAGCCATTGCTGCCGCTGCCGAAAGTCATGATTATCCCCCTGTCTGGAGAAGCAGAAAGAAGTCGCGTCACTGGCACACGTGAGGCCCTGCGGGGCACGCACAGCGCACAGGGCTGGCCGTGGCTCCCAGGACAGCGGCTCTGCTTGCACCCACTCTGACTCCTAACTTGCTGCGGGGGCCAGAAGCCTTCAGCGGGCTTCCAGGGAGCAGCAGCCTCCATGCACTGCAACAACTCACCAAACAAACAGCAGATGATAGGAGAGCACTGAGATAACATTACTGCAGCTGTGTACGCAGGAGCTGCTAACGCCGCAGTCTGCCAAGGTGTTAGATACACAGAGCCGCTCACTGAGCAGCCGCCCAGCAGAGGCGAGGCAGGAAACACCATGGAGAGGTAGGACAAACACATGCCTACAAAGTTTGCCGGTTGCATATCTGTTATCTGCTGCCCTGATCCCCAGCAGAAGCGCAAACAGGGCTCCCAGAGGACCACTGGGAGGGCTTTGCTCCACAAACACGGCCTTGGGCTGCTGTGCATGCTCCCCTCCCAGCCAGAATGCCTCCTGGCCCACTCTGAGGGGGCTTCAGACCCTGCCTTCCTGCGGCTGAGGACAACCAGCCCTGCAGGAGCTCACCCTGACTTCTCACTGCAACGCCAGTCACTGCTGGTCACTGCTTGTGTCTGCGTCATGCTCACAGAGTATGCGACAGAGAACAGCTGAACTTCCCAGACACTCCTCACACTGCAGTCTCCACTGTACAGGCCAGTTCTTGGCTTCGGGTGACACCAGTGCAGCCAGGACAACAAATCTGTGGCCCTCCCCACACCAGACAGACCTTTGGGACCAAGTTGACCAATGTGGCATCATAGGAGGACCATGCCTGCCATTTCTGACCCCCGCCTGATGTTACATGAGAGGCCACAGAGGCCTTCGTCTCACCCCAGCCCAGCGCATCTCTCGGGTTCCTCTCTGAGCAGGCTCCCCAGGCAGTCACGCTGCATTTGCAAGCCAGCTGCCACGCAGAGGGCTCTGGGCAACCAGCCAGGCGAAGGCAGGAGGCAGCAGCTCACCTGTGAGGCAGGCTGTGAAGAGATCACCGCAGGACACGTGTTTGATGGTCACGCCAGACTGGCCCTCCAGAAAGCGGGACACAAACTGAGGCTGGAGCTGCTCGGTGGCTCCCGGGAGAGAAGGGCCTCCCGCAGCACCCATCGGGGGAGCCTGGCAGAGAGAAGCCATGTCGGCTGCTGCACCTCTGTGCAGCAAGAGCTGGGTTGGAGAACTCAGATGAGCCCCTTCCCACAGGCTTAGCAGCGTCACCCGCACCAGCGGTCCTGGGGGACACAGCACCAGGGCCTACGCAGTGAGCAGAAATGTCTCCTCCTCAGAAATCACACATCCGAGGCTTCCACGGCTACTGCCTGCCCCAGGTTTTTCACACCACTCACCTCCCACATGATGAGCCGCCCCGATTTGGTGACCCCGGCCTTCTGCGTCCTGCCAGCAGACACCTGCACCACTTCGGTGTTAAGCATGGGCAGGCGGAGAGGTGTGGTGATTCCGCTCCCCCAGGTGTAGATGGATGACAGCGGAGGAGGGATTCCTGTCCTGGCTGAACCACCTCGAACACCTACGGGTCAAAGATAAATCATCAACACAGAGCCCTGGCTCTCCTCCCACAGGAAAAGAAATGGCACCATCCAGTCTGGGTGTCAGCAGAGCCGCCTGCCAGCCAGCGGGGCCAGACCAGCACCGGTCCAAAGCTGGCAAGGGGCTGCTGGGGAGCTCCCAGCCAGGGCTGAGGAGCACATGGGAACAACTCCTTGTATTTTATCCCAGAATTGAGGGAAGCGGCACCATGACAGCTTTAGCTAATTGTTGCCAGTGCCAGCTGCATTGCCCTGCGCTGGGATGTCCCCCCTCAGCACTGCCAGCTGGTTCCCAGCCTTTGCAGCAGGAGCAGCAGAAACTTGATTCAAGGGTTCAAAACCCAGAAGAGGCGGCTGGAGAAAGAGCGCTGCTTGCTCCCCAGAGCCGAGGTGCTCGTGGGCTCCTCCAGGGCTCAGGGAAGGTGACGCCTCTTAACTCCCTCTTTCCAGAAGCTCAAGTGCCTCTCTGACCCCCTGACATCCAAAGGGAAGGGTCCTTCCGAAAGGAGTTGTGTTGAACACACCGTGCCAGGACTCACCCCTCGGTCTGGCACTGCTCACTCGTCCCCCTGTCCGGCTGTGGGTCACTGTTGGCACCGGAGCCAAGGGTTTTTCAGGCCTGCCAAACCAAAATTCAGTCCTTAATGTCAGCTCGGCCCCAGAGGTCCTGCAGAGCCCTGGATCACAGAAGGTCTGGGCAGAGCTACAGCATAAGCCACGGCTGAATAGCTCACAGAATTGCCTCAGCAGGTGCTTTAAGCCACCTGAGAGAGGGGAGTTGGCATCAGTGTGCTTCCCCCTGAGCTCACAGTTCTCTATTCACTGTTACTGCGATGACAAGCCCACAGCTGCCACGGCACCTGCTGCAGCCCCGAGCCACTGGGCCAGGCTCGGCCCGCAGCAGCTGCACAATGGGTAACGCAGGAGAGCTGCGTGGGAACAATGCTCTCTTCGGAGCTCGTAGCGGAAACAGTGAGGCGGTCAGACACGTTGTGGGCTGTGGCAGCCCCTCCCAAGGGACACTAAGGTGACAGTATTACTTGCCTTCTCATTTTGACACTGCCCACATCAGTGTAGAGGTTCAGAAGAGGCCGAATGCAGATGGCCTGGGCCATGATCTCATTCAGCTGGGGCCGCTTGGAAGGATCCAGGTTCAGCATGCTAAGGATGAGCTGGCGCAGGTCGGGGCTGTATCTATCTGATATTGGGGCAAACGTCCCACTCATGATCTTCAATACTAAGGCAGGAAGATTCTGGAGGGAAAACAAGAGGGAGACATACAGTGGCTGGGCGGTCAGAGGTGAGGCCAAGGAGCAAGACGTTCTCAGCACTGCCCTCTGCCTTCACACCTCCAGGCTCAGTGAGAAGAGCGATCCAAGCATGCATTTTCACCTCTGTAAGAGGCCACGGCTCCATGCGCTACATGTAAACCGTATCCCTCTTACCGCAGCTTCGAAAGCCCTCTTGAGGCTGGCAAGTTCATACAGCACACAGCCCAAAGCCCAGATATCGCTCTTCTGGTTGTAAGGTTTCCCTTCACAGAGCTCTGGGGAGATGTAGCATGGAGTTCCCACAACCTAGAAGAGACAAAGAAATTCACCATGATGCTGTGAAACTGGGGCAGTGAGGTGGAAAGAGACAGGCTCAGTTTAGAGCCCTGTGCACAGGCTGGCTAAAGCACCACCAGCCAAAGCTTAGCGGAGTTGGGCTTTTGTTCCCTGGTGTCAACAGCTGCCTGACAATATCAGTAAAAAAAAAAGGAAGGATTTGCCTTTCCAGTGACCTCCCTTGTGCATACAGAGATTACCTCTAATTTTGCTCCTATCCACTTGAGAGAATCAGAGCCCAGAGCAATGAGCGTGATATAAACGTCTAGTCAGATTAGACCAGGTGGGGAATGATATTCAAATCTCAAGCAGAGAGAGAAGATTAAGACAAGGCAGGACGGCAGGGCACAGGCAGGAATTCAGCTGCCAAGTATGTGTCAGACAAGCCTGCAAACACCACCACTCCCACTGTGACAGCAGGAGGAACCCTGTCTACCCTCACCAGTGGGCCCAGATGCCCCATCCTCTCCCAGGCTTGGGCAGGCAGGTCTTTCTCACCTTTCTGCAGCCCACAGAGCTGCAGCAAACTTGGGTGTGAAGACATCAGCCTGTATAAACTCCAAGGAGCAAAGCAGCGTTGCGGCACACGGATGTGGCTTACTGCAAGTGTGCGACATCCAACCTCGCTGCCTACAGCAGCTTCCCAGAGACTATCGTGAGCCAACTCCAGAGTTTCCAGCCCGCTGCCGTGGTGGTAAGTAGTTCCCCTGCAAAGCCAGGCCACTCACTGTGTAGGCTTTACTCTTGCTGCTCAAGATTTTGGAGATACCGAAGTCTCCGATCTTGACAATCATGCGATGCTTGTCCAAGAGGATGTTCTGAGTCTTCAGGTCACGGTGCAGGATCTGCTTGGTGTGCACGTGGTGGAGAGCCAGGAGGATCTGCACAAAGAAGTGCAGGATGGTATCCTCATCCAGCAAGGAGTTACAGCGCTTATGAATAAACTCTGCTAGCGTGCCCCCTGCAAAGAACAACAAAGGGCTATCGGCAAGGGTGGCTGCACAGGGCAGCGCAAACCCAGCCTAAAAGCCAGGGGGGATTTAGCCATGGCATCTTAACAAGCCAAGCACATGGGAAAAAAGCATGTTCTGGCGGGACACGCAGCACGTCCTCCAATGCTCCCAAGACCGTGTGGAGAACAATGGCAGCACAGTTGGTGGGATGAAGAAACACCAAGAGAGAAGTTACCGTTGACATATTGTCAAAGGCAGCAGGAAAAGAAACACTAAAATTACAGCTCTTGGAGAACATAAACCTTGATGGCAGAACAAGATAAGCCTGTTCCACAAAAGAGAATTCTTGCAGTCCAAGAGGCCACGTGGCACAGAGGGGCCCCTATCGAGAAGGGGAGGTCCAGATTCAGGGCTCACATACAACTTTTAACAAACCCTCACGCAAATGTTGATTTCGTCTTAAACTCCACAGCAAATCTTGTTAGAAATCACACCTTGCCACACAGAGCTGTGGGACCAATAGTGTGGCCGAGAGCTGACACAGGGAAATGTATGTGAAACCTAAGCCAAAGGCAGATGGTAGCACACTTACAAGCAAGAGGTGTTCGAAATCTCCTTGTTTTGGATGTGATTAGCAGGCATAAGGCATAGAATCACAGAATCACAGAATGGTTGAGGTTGGAAGGGACCTCAGGAGGTCATCTGGTCCAACCCCCTGCTCAGGCAGCGCCACCGACAGCTGGTTGCCCAGGACCATGACCTGTCTTTTGAATATCTCCAAGGATGGTGATTCCACAACCTCTCTGGGCAACCCATGCCAGTGCTCGGTCACTTGGCTCACGGTCAACCTGGTGTCCACCAGGACCCCCAGATCCTTTTCTACAAAAATGTCTGTTCAAGAGAGACATGTTTGGACTCTTTGGGGGTCCAAAGCACAGGATCTTTATAAGGAGCACAATGCGGGGCCACAGCAGCCCAACCCAAGGAGAGCTGAGGGCTTGGCATCCCCTGGGCCTGGGGAGGAACCAGCTGCAGGCGCTGGGGAAGATCAGGGCCCACCTGGGGCGTACTCCATGGCGATCATGAGCGCCTTGTCCTCCAGGAAGTTCTCGTAGTACTCGATGACGTTGGGATGGCTGAACCTGGCCCTCGTTCTGCCCCGCCAGCCGCTCATCCTTGCTCATCTGCTCCACCGGGATCTGCTTCAGGATCACCAGCTTCTGGTCAGCCTTGCGCAGGCACAGGTGCACGATGCTGCGGGGACGACGGGGACAGGGCCTCAGCATGGGACAGGGGGGCGACAGGGCCTGGCTGCCACCCTGGGGTGACACATGGCCCCTGCCGCCCCCCGGTTGCCATGGTAACAGGGCCTGCAATTCCCCCCCTCCGGGGTGTCACCCGCCCAGTGCCGTGTCACCCCATCG